AAAAACAATGAACAGACAGATTCCTTTCACTGAATTCATTCAACGAAATCGATCTCTATTGAGAGCTCATCTCATAAAAACGTCAATTTCAGTGAGAGTTGTAACAGACAATCCAACGATATGCTAATCACAGATATCAATGAGAAACGTCATTTGATATGATCGTCACCGTTAGAAAAAAAATATTCTTCATGTGTCACAGTCTAACAAATCCTTTAAAAGCACCAAGTACACCAAGAATTCCTGTGAAGTAACCGTTGGAAAAATAGTTAGTGTAGAAACATTCGAAATTATTATAAAATTAGATAGGACATCTAATGATCTGAAAAGCAATGGTGGTGAAGTTATGCTAAACACCTTGACGAAAATGTTGTTACAGTTTGAATGAGTGAGTGAGTAAAATAAAACCGAGTGTAGTTTACGATAAACAGAACGTTTGATATGATGAACACACTTTTCCAATATTTTATGCTAATAACATACTCATAGTTCCCAATCGATTTATATCTAACTCATCGATGGTGAATAATCAAGTAAACTGACTCAAATGTTCCGAGTACTAAACACTGAACGACTGAAAATAAGTTAAATCATATTAGATGAAGGGAGAATGCTGGTTAACGGCTTACGCTCCATTCGGAGTAACAGGTATAAGTAAGTAAGTAATATTAGAAAATTCACATTGAAAAAATGTTAATTAAATTATTTTTCACATCATAAGCGTCATCATCATCATTCATGTGTTATCAAACCATAATGTGATGTTCCCTAGATGTAACAAATTGATCATTTTCACCTTATTCAACACATGTTAACTGATTGTTGATATATTAGTGTTGTATATAAATGTATATATTACCAAAAGAGAACAGTAAGTGAACATGAGACATTCTTGTATGAATGAAATAGTTGAATAATTTGGTATTTGTTATATTGAATGTAACTGGGGTTTTTGTTGTAGAATTGTGAGTTATTTATAGTGTGATAAATCAATCAGTTAATATTTATTGTGTAATATGGTTTAGTGTGGTTTTATGTATTAGTAATGTACAGTTCAGTTGTAAAGTTATTGATGAATAATTAGAAGTAAACATGAAACGGTGTTATTGCAGTTACTAGTTACTAGCAGGTAGACCTATTTGATGAAGTCCCACTTTTGACTGTTTTCATATACTTATAAAATTCATGTCTTAGCATCATTTAGTGTTATAAATTACTATTTTATAAAAGCAGAGAACATTCATAGACGCCCAACTTCGAGATCAACAAGCTGGATTCCGTAAGGATCGGTCGTGCACAGACCAAATTGCAACACTACGGACCATCGTCGAACAATCAGTGGAGTGGAACTCATCACTATACATCAACTTCATTGATTATGAAAAGGCATTCGACAGTGTAGATAGGAGGACATTATGGAAACTTCTTCGACACTACGGAGTTCCTGAGAAGATTGTCAACATTATCCGGAACTCATACGACGGACTACAGTGCAAAGTAGTGCATGGAGGACAGCTGACAGATGCATTCCAAGTAAGGACTGGAGTCAGACAAGGCTGTTTACTCTCTCCCTTCCTCTTTCTTCTGGTGGTCGACTGGATTATGAAGACCTCAATATCTGAAGGAAAACACGGAATACAATGGACAACTCAGAATCAATTAGACGATTTGGACTTCGCAGACGACCTAGCCCTCCTATCACGTACACACGAACAGATGCAGATGAAGACAGCCAGTGTAGCAGCAGTCTCTGCATCAGTAGGCCTCAGCATACACAAAGGGAAAACCAAGGTCCTCAAATTCAAAGCGAAAACAGCAATCCAATCACTCTTGATGGCGAAACTCTGGAAGATGTAGAGTCCTTCACATACCTAGGAAGCATCATCGATGAACAAGGAGGTTCAGATGCAGACGTAAAGGCGAGGATCGGCAAAGCAAGGGTCGCATTCCTACAATTGAAGAACATATGGAACTCAAAACAACTTTCAACCAATATCAAAGTGAGAATCTTCAATACGAACGTCAAGGCAGTTCTACTGTATGGAGCTGAAACTTGGAGAACTACAACAACCACCATCAAGAAGGTACAAGTATTTATAAATAGCTGCCTACGCAAGATACTCAACATCCACTGGCCGGATACCATCAGCAATAGCCTTCTGTGGGAGAGAACAAAGCAACTTCCAGCTGAAGAAGAAATTAGGAAAAGACGATGGAAATGGATAGGACATACATTACGCAAACCGTCAAACTGCATCACGAGGCAAGCCCTAACTTGGAACCCTGAAGGGAGGCGAAAAAGAGGAAGGCCAAAGAACACATTGCGTCGGATTATAGAAGCAGATATGAAAAGGATGAATTACAACTGGACGGAGCTAGAAAGGATTGCCCAGGACAGGGTTGGATGGAGAATGCTGGTGAGTGGCCTATGCTCCTTCACGAGGAGTAACAGGCGTAAGTAAGTAAGTAAGTAAGTAAGAGAACATTCATAAGAAAATCTGCAAGTACATGGTTACTTTACATAATACTACTCTGTTCAGTTGTTATAACTGTCACAATTCAGGTTGCATACCAGTTTTTATAACGGAACAAAGTTGGATATCACGCTAAGCAATGAACATGAAGTTTTTGTAGTATATTAACCATAAATACTCAACTGATTTTTATAATAAGTAAAATAGAATAAATAAAACCAACTCTGGAACTCAAGTACATCGTGCTGACGAGTTCCAAATAGGACGAAACAAGCGTCTTGAATTCCAAAATTAAAATATGTCATGTATCGTTTACTTGTCTGGTCACTAATCAAATTTGGATTCATTGATCGATAGTCTCGTTAATCCTTGGAGCGTGAGACTAAAGGTCCCAGGTTCAGATCCCGCGAGCGGTATCGTGGATGAGCACTGCTGAGAAATCCCGTACGAGGATTGTTCAGTCCTTCCAGATTTTCCATAGTGGTCTAGCTTTAATGAACTCATGAATTCAACTATTAAACCGTGTTTGCATTACTTCTCATCAATGTGATTTCTGTGTTTGAAAAAAAAGTTTATAATTTCCCTTGTTCTTTCTCCTGTCTAGAACTTACATCATTCTATACCTTCAGCAGATCAATGCACATTGATTTACTTTTTGAAGAATATGCTGTGGATCCCATTTGTATTCTACCAAATTCAAATCTCCTGAACCATCCTCGTCTCCCTTTTTCTCTTTCCAAATTTATTTCACTGAATTATACTCTTTAAATAACATCTCCAAACCCTAATGTTTCCGGTTACTGCTTATACTCGTACTACCTCTACCACTACGGGATTTGAATCCACCACTGCATCTCTGTGCTAATGTGGTGTGGCAACTCGAATTGATGTAAGTACGTACGAAGTTCTACGTTGTTACTGACTGACTGACACAGCATTAACGATTCCTAAATGAAAAGCTCTTATCATCTTCGATTGACATGAAGATATGTTGGTCAGTTTTATTGACAACAAATGAAATCCCATACATATGTATTGCACATAAATGATTCGACACAAGAAAAAATTGCTCGGATGTTCATGTAATGTTTGTATCCAATTAGGTATTCGATCTCTAATGATAGTAATCTACATCTGTCATTGTATTATTGTTATAAATTAGATAGATTTTATTGTAGATGTAACATGAATTGTATATAAATCATGTCAATTGTATCCCATCTTAAACTTATCTTGGTCATATTAGTTGGTTATCCTGTGTAGTACGTTTCATACTGTTTTTCACAATGTTTTCTTGGTTAGTTTTGTTTTTTTTCTTACTAGGCTGGTCCAAGCGACTTCCCAGGAGTCCTTTAAGTGGCAACTTGATCTATTCCTAAGGTCTAAGGATAGTATCATACTGTGATTCAGCAATTTATTTTTCCTCTTTTATCGTTAACATATCTAGGTTCCTGCCTGGAGTTATTCGTGATCCCCTGATAATAGACACAGAAGCCTGTTAAGCGAAAGCTTCTTCTATTCCGTCCACAACCATTCGAACCGCTTGAACCATTACTGTCTATGTGTCTAGTTGACTATTCACTTCTATACATAAATGTTCTTAACAAGTATATATGTGGTCAGATTGTTCGAAGTGTATTATGTTAATATATAACAACATAGTTCTGATAATCTTTGTCTTCTTATAACACTATCGCAATTTATAAAATGGACTAATCACTTTTGATGGAGTTTTATTCTCTGAACTCGATGGTTTGGTCGTGGAGCTTTCATCGTTCTTCTGAACGACATTATCAGCACAAACTTCAGATAGAACTACACTAATCACTTTACATACTTATGAATGTTGTCTCAGATTAAACACTATTTCACTGCTATTGATTGAATTTCCATGGATCTTATTTACTGAATTAAAATATCCATAACATTCAAATGTGATGGGTTAGTAATACTTAGATTATCTGTCACTTTCGTATCTTAATTATAAAGTGGTTGATTATCATATTAATCATCTCGATTTGATGAAAAGTTTAGATCTAAAATATGGTATAGATTTAACTCTATTGATCACTTCAAAGTTCAATAGACCACAACACTCAACTTGAGTAATCAAAATAATAGTTAAATCGACTAATGTCTCGAAATTGACAAATCCTTCTATTGTAACAATATTCAATTAATACTGTTTTAAAACTTTTAAAATAACATAAAAATATTGCACAAGCAATTGGCTATTAGGAATCAGTAGCTAAGTGGATAATACGTTAGTGTTTGAAATTAATGATACTGGGTTCGAGTCCCACAGTGAACATCAACTCGGAGATGCAGGTATATCCAGCTGTCAATTCACAAATAGAACGGAACGCACGTTGTAGATCCCACTGTTAGCTACTATCCATCTTTTTTTATAATTTTTGTAAATTAACTCACTATCGAGTCAATTCGCACAGTATACACATATGCCAATAAGAGACTGATCAATTATAGTCCTAAAACATCAATAGGAAGATTCAATTAATACAACAATACTAAATGAATTTTATATTGATATTATTTTAATAAATCTGTTGCTATGGTAATGAGTGTGAAGAATTTTTTCAAAGGAAAACAATGTTAATAAAAAATTGGCAAGCAACAAAATTGAATGATAATCAATGTTTCCAAAATGTAGAAATCAAAACTGTTCATGTATAAATTTGACATAACAATTCAATTCTCATCAACAATGTCATTTAGATCAATGATATTCTATTGTAGTTTTGTAGTGTGTGTGTGTGTGTTGTTAATGTTAAGTTTACACAGATGAATTTTCCTTGCCAACTGTTTTACGAAATAATAAAATTGATATAGTTACATATATCCCTTTTAAAATTGCAAAAATAAAGCATAGATACATTAACAGTATAATATATTGTTGCATGTATCTAGTGATTGCTGCAACACAACCCTATTATGATAATGAAAAAAAAATAAGAAAAAAACTCGGATAAAATCAATAGAAAATTATTAGTTTAGGGGTTGTGGAGATTGTTAAGTTAGACATTAACACCATTGGATGCCGGCTCAGTGGTCCAATAAGTTAAGCGTTCGCGCGCGATACTGGAGGCCCTGGGTTCGAATCCCGCTAACAGGATCGTGAATGCGCACTGCTGAGTAGTCCCACAGTAGGACGAAGAGGCCGTCTAGTGCTCCCAGGTTTTCAATGGTGTTCTAACACCAGTCGGTTCATGATCTCAAGCAAAATTGGAAAATTATTGATTACATAAATTAAATCAATAAATGATTAAATAGTATATGGAGATATCGATGATAAATTAATTCATTCATTAAAAATATTTAATTGTTTTTGATGGAGTTTTCGTCGTTCTTCTCTTGAATGACAACATTGTCAGTATAAAGTTAAGGTAGAAGTGAAGTGTTTGAATTTCTTTACATGTGGTTCATAGTCTGTTCTGTAGACCTCTATGTTGATTGATTTTTGTTGACGTTTAAACCTGTCATTGTTTACTTCTTTGATATTACTCCATGATTAAACCAACCAGCTCAAAGAAAAAAACTCTATCAAAATCATCCTTCTGAGTTATAAATCTCAAATATCTCAATATCTCATTGAGTTAATGCTTTACAACTAACCATCATCCAGAAGGCATAAGTGTTTATTAACAGTTGTCTACGCAAAATAATTCGAATTCGCTGGACAGACATTATCAACAACAACCTACTGTGGGAGAGAACAAATCAGATTCCAGCAGAAGAAGAGATCAGGAAGAAGCGCTGGAAGTGAACAGAACGCACATTGAATAATGCATCGAACTGCATCACAAAGCAACCCCTCACTTGGAATCTTGAAGGCCAAAGGAGACGCGGAATACCAAAGAACACAGTACTCCGAGAAATGGATACAGAAAAAAGAAGAATGAACAACAATTGAATAGAACTAGAAAGGAAGGCGCAGGCGAGAGTGAGTTGGAGAATGGTCGTCGGTGGCCTAATCTGCATTGGGAGCAACAGGCGTAAGTAAGTAAATAAATTCATGGGTTATAATTTCTGAAGTGTTCTCTCATCATCCAGTCTTTTTAGGCGTTACTTTAATATAAAAAGTAGCGTTATGTAGAATATGATATCATAGACACAGTAGACAATGTGCTGTGGAAACTTGAAGCGATGCATATATGTGCCTGGTCCCATATTGTAACTAACTAAGACAAATTAAAAATTATTTTCATAGGTAATTTATTACAAACATGAGTAAAACATTTCATCCAAATAACTTTGTACTTTAGAAATCTATTAAAATATTCACTGGCGATGAAGTTAAATACACAAATTCATTATAATTGATTGTCAAAATAGTATGATTATAAAATATATCAGATGAGTTTTGTGGAGATTGTAGTAATTTCAATGGTTAAAATCATGAGTCAGTTGAAGCTAGACAACCATGGAAAACCTGGAAGCACTGGACGGCTGCTTCGTCTTATTATGGGACTCCTCAGCAGTGCGCGTCCACGACCTCACCCCCCCCCGCGAGATTCGAACCAAGGACCTACTGGTTTGGCACGCGAGCACTTAACCACTAGACCACTGAACCGGCATCCAACGGTGTTAATGTCTAACTTCAATTAATCCAGTGCTTCCAGGTTTTCCATGGTGGTCTAGCTTCAACTGACTCATGATTTTAACCATATAAAATATATATTAAAGTAGTAATCGAATTCAGTACAGTTTTGAATAAATATATGAGATGATAAAGAGGAGTACAAGATCAATAATGACAACTTTTACAATGAATAATCAATAAATTTGAACTCACAAATCCATATGATGTAGGTTTACAAGAAGATGGTGTTGTAGAATGTATTTTTAAATAATCACGAAAATAGGAAGCACCACAACATCCAAGCTATAACAACAATATCCATATCAAACTATTTCAATAGAACTTACAGTCATTTGTAAATTATTAAATTCATTTTTAATATCAAAATCCTGATGATAATGTACTACAGATTCATGTAATGAAGAATTTACTTTCATAAAAAACTAGAATAAAAAAGAATATAAATGATATAGGCATGTTAGTATTGCATCATTTAATCAAACTAACCTGATCCTTAGAAACAGCTGACATTGTTGCTGTGCTAAATTCGATAATTGCACTAATCATTAAACCACCAATATGCTAAATATAAATACATATATATCAATGATGAATGTATTATATATTACTTACAATCAATGCAATACATTGTTTTTGTTTTATTAAACCAATTAAACCAATTAATGCAGTGATTAGACATAATAATCCACTAGAGATAATCATTGGAATTATAATTGGTATAGCATTATGTAATATAATGGTAAATCTGTTTAAAAAATTCAATTTATCTATACCTAATGAAATAAGCACAATACTGTATACCTGAAAATGAATAAATATAAAATACATTACAATATATAACTTACAATAAATATAAGATTTGATAAGATAATTATATTTTTCCAATATTTTTCTGCTATTGATAAGATCATGATCCCCCTTTTTTTTGTCCTTGTTTTGTTGTTGTTGTTGTTGTTGTTGTTTGGTTCGATATTGATAATTGAAATTAGTTGCTATGAGATATTAATAAAATATGAACAGTTTATATATTATACATCATATTGAGTTAATATAAGTAATATCATTCCTTAAAGTGTATGTTCAATGATATATATGGATATATATAATGCACACTATGTAAATTTTTTTTTAACTTATTCTCTGTCTAATTATAGTAAAAAAAAACTTGTTTAGTAATTTCTCTCATAGTAACAAACAGGTACGTAATTAAATGACTTAGTAACATAGAATTTGTTTTTTAAAAATATTCATAATCATTTAATGACATGATTATTATTACGTAAATGGGATTGTATGTATGCTTGTATTTCACTATGATAATTCATTTTGTGTATAGTATTATGTATAACTGTCAATTAAATGGTTGACTTACATCACAATTACTCAGTAACTAAATTTTAATAATTTTGATTGTCTTTTTTGTTTTAAAATGTCATTCATATGTTGTTTTTTTTTTAGCTTATTCATATGTCGAATTATTCATTTATGAATAAATGAAAATATTTTTAAAGTACATATTACTGACTGACTTACTTACTTACTTACGCCTGTTACTCCCTATGGAGAAAAGGAACGCCAACAAGCATTCTCCGATCCACTCTGTATTACGCTATCTAATTGTTGTTTATTCCTCTCATATCTGTCTCCATTTCTCGGCATAATGTGTTCTTCGGTTGTTCTCTCCTCCTTTAGCCTTCAGGGTTCCAAGTGAGGGCTTGCCTTGTGATGAAGTTCGGTGCTTTCTTCAATGTGTGTTCTATTCACTTTCAGAGCTTTTTCCTGAACTCTTCTTCTGCTGGAATCTGATTTGTTCTCTCCCACAGTAGGTTGTTGCTAATAGTGTAGACAACTGTTAATTCTCTAGCTTTCCCCATACAGTAGAAATGTGTTGACATTTGTATTGAAAATTCTGACCTTGATGTTGGCTTACAGACAGTTGTTTTGAGTTCCAGATCTTGTTAAATTATAAATATGTTTCTCTTGTTTTACTGATCCGCGCCTTCATATCTGCATCACACCCACCATGCTCATCAATGATGCTGTCCAGATATGTAAAGGCTTTTACATCCTCTAAAAGTTCTCTGTCAAACATGATGCGGTTGGTGCATGTTGTATTGTCTGTAATGAAAAAACGTACATATTACTGTTGTGCTTTCCGAATCACTTTGACCCCTAGACAACGATTAGTACGAGTATATTTAAAAAGGTGGTCTTATTGTTTATCAAACACCATAAACAAGTGATTAATAAACTATGCTAATAATGTCAGAAAGCATTTCATTCAAATTTAGACTAGGATTTATTACAACCATTAAGAATACTAATGAGAGTGTGAACAGTTAGATTTATTCTCGAAGAAATATGTTAATATTTACCTTACTATAGAATATGTTAAATCCCAGTATTTCAAACGTTCTAATCAAAAGTTCTGCATCGATAGGTAATTCCCTGAAATAGTTAACTTTGCAAGCATTCGACAATGATCTTCGGAATATTAGTTTTACCAAATACATCACTAGTTGACGACATTCGGTCAAATAACTGTACCAGATTACATTCTGTGTTACCTCACGAGACAACGGAATCAATTTTCCTACTAACTATCATAGCTCTCTACTCGAATCGATTTTGGGATTACTTTAATAATAAAAATATGAGCATCATTGTCACCAAATTTTTTTAGTTTTTCAAAACACCTTCAATTGTTTTGAATATCATGTTAAAGTTTTTAACCTAAATCGTCTTATCAGTTTGTTACAGAATCGATCACAAAGTGATGATCATCAGTATTTATTGACACGTTACAACACTTTCTCAATGATAAACTAGAGACTAGAGGTTATCTTAAACGCATATTGCATAAAACTACAACAATACAACTTGTGTTATTAAATACATCTTACATCGCTATCAATATGTCACATTTGTTTGAGTAAGTTATCTAATGAACTGAGGTATCCACTAAATACTTTAGAATAAATGGAGTTTCGTTAACTAAATCTATCCTATTTACTGGTTGTATGATTTATATGGGTCTGTACTGTTACCTTTCAGAAAGAGAGTCATCCCACAAATGATTGTTCACTTTAACGTCATCGAATCGCTTAGTTAATGACAAATGATTTTACAATCATTTTAGCAGGGTTGTTCGATAATAACTCAAACGTCGAGACATTCGATTAAGGATTACCATTGAAATTTTTCTGTATCACATCTTATCATTTGAAAGTATCAGTAAATTAACTAGAAATAGCTTTTAATTATTAGCATGAAAGAGAAATAACTAATTTTGAACATGGTTGGATTGGAATGTAAAAACTAATTGATATTTCTAATGTACATTCGCATCATGTTCATCTCATCTATGTTTAATAGTTTAACAATATGTACTTGAGTCCCAGTCCAAAAGTCTATAGGTCAACAGTATGTATGCAAGATCAAAGATCTTGGATTATTTTCCCATATACAGGCTCGTATGTACCCTATTCTGAGGTGTCCCATACTCAGACAAAACGTCTATTAAGTACTTCCACATTTTTATTGATTGTCTAACTTTGATCAGTTCATGATTTCAATGATATTATGAAATTTTACGGTTCAGAATCAATTGAAAAATTTGAATTTCGCAGATGACCTAGCACTCCTATCGCATACACACGAAGAAATGCAGATGAAGACAACTAATGTAGCACCAGCCTCTGTATTAGTAGGCCTCAACATACACAATGGAAAAAGAAAGATCCTCAAATACAACACAGAGAACGCCAAACCAATCACACTTGATGATGAAACTCTGGAAGATGTGGAATCCTTCACATACCTGTAAAACATCATCGATGAACAAGGAGGTCCAGATGCAGACGTAAAGGCGAGGATTGGCAAAGCAAGGGTCCCATTCCTACAACTGAAGAACATATGGAACTGAAAACAACTTTCAACCAAATTCAAAGTCACAATCTTCAATAAGGACGTCAAGACAGTCCTACAAACGAAGGTGAAACATGGAGAACTACTACAATCACCATCAAGAAGGTACAGGTATTTATAAATAACTGTCTACGCAAGATACTCAACATCCATTGGCCGGATACCATCAGCAATAGCCTTCTGTCGGAGAGAACAAACCAGCTTCCAACTGAAGAGGAAATTAGGAAGAGATGATGGAAATGGATAGGACATACATTACGCAAATCGTCAAACTGCATCACGAGATAAGCCCTAACTTGGAATCCTGAAGGGAGGTGGAAAAGTGGAAGGCTAAAGAACACATTACGTCGGGAAATAGAAGCAGATATGAAAAGGATGAATAGTAACTGGAAAGAGCTGAAAAGGATTGCCCAGGACAGTACTGGATGGAGAATGCTGCTTAGTTGCCTATATTCTTTCACGAAGAGTAATAGATGTAAGTAATTAAGTATATAAATTAATTTCACATATTAAACTTTCTAAACATTTAATCAAAAGAAAATTTTTATTTGTTGTTTAGAAATAAATTAAAACAAACAAAAAAATATCAATTAAGAAGTCATATATTTATAATTTATATTACTGTTTTGAGTAGTATAAATGATTTTGCAACAAAAAAGTGAATCTTCTGTCAATTAACATATAGGAATGATGATGTAAGTTAACATTTAAGAAAAAAAGAATGAAATGAAATGTAATAGTATCTTGGTCAGTTTTATTATATTCCCCCCCTTTTTTTTTTAAAAAAAAAATCAATAATATGAAATACATATCTATCTGATTCCATTACATTCATCAATATTGTTATTTATTATTCTATATAGATAAATTATTCTTATTAGATTTACGATAAACAAGAATTGAAATAGCCAAATAGATTGCTTTAATAATAACGAATGCAATACATATATATATTATTATCATAATAGATTGTTCTATATATTCATATAATGCTTCAGCACAACCCTATGAAAAAATATTAAAAAAGAATACAATTGAAATGGATTATTTACTAAAGTTTTAAAGCTGAATAATAACAAAATATTGAATAGGATATGACTTACTTGCTTACTTACTTACGCAGCCAAATAGCACTCGCTATCCAACCCTATCCTGGGAGATCCTTTCCAACTCTTTCCAGTTACTATTCATCTTTTTCATATCTGATTTGATTTCCCCACGTAATGTGTTCTTCGACTTTTCCTCATTTCCGTTTCCATTCAGGATTCCAAGTTAACACTTGTCTCGTGATGTTGTTGTAACATATGAAATTCATAGCATAGGAATAGCTATAGAAATGTGATGTAGTGGTTTATTGTTTAAAGTGTCTAACAGTCAACTAGTAGGTTACAAATTCAAACGGAGTTAAGTTGACTTCAGTTCAATCAGAAGATTAGTATTATATGCTTTAAGAAACTTAGATATGATTTTAGTTTTTTGATCAAACTGTTTATTTCATTGGTAAAATTTAATCAACCTTAGGAATTCCATAGTAATTGATTTTGTATTCAATGAATTGTACACATTATATATGAGTATTGAAATGATGGTTTAGTAAGATTCTTTGTTTGCTTTATTTTCTTTGGGCATGTTGATTGTCATTCTAAACAAAATGATTGATGTTTGCTTCATATTGAATTAACTTTACAGTAATTAGATCATCACATAATTCTGGTAAATTTTTGTCTTCTCATTGCATTATCGAAATAAACAGTAATCAAAGTAATAAAGTTCTAGTGAGAAGAAGTGACCAGTGGAGTACAACCAGGTCTGTTGTGAGATAATAACTCACTGAAGACAATGGTGGATGTGTCACTCAATTTCGTGGATCCGTTGAAGTTACACATTAACACCGTCGGATGCCGGTTCAATGGTCTAATGGTTAAGTGCTCGCGCGAGAAACCAGTAGGTCCTGGATTCGGATCTTGCAGGAGACGAGGTCATGGATGCGCACTGCTGATGTGTCCCACAATGCGACGAAACGGCCGTCCACTGCTTTCTAGTTTTCCATGGTTGTCTAGCTTCAACTGACTCATGATCTTAACCATTGAAATTAGCTTAATAGTCAATAGATTATTGAAGACGTATAGTGTTTACATATTTATTAGTAACATTAATAACATTGAAAAGTGAATTTAAACCAGTCTTTCTCAGCATATATGAATTCGGTATTGGTAATAAGTGAAGATAGCGGATGAGCCTTAAATGAAAGAAAACTCATTACTGACTATAAACTATAATATATGCTATGATAGGTCTATTGTAACCAAATAGCACCAGCTAAGACTGATCAAAATTCAGCTCATAATATCAATAACAGAATGATTAACATTTTTACTAGTAACGAAATATACACTGATAATATCGTTCAAAAGAAGAACGATGAAAGCTTGATAACCAAATCATTCAACTTAAAGAATAAAACTTTATCAAAATTATCTACCATAGTTAACTTATCACAAGGGGTTTCGTGGAAATGTTAGAAATTTCACTGGTTAAAATCATGAGATAGACAATCATGGAAAACCTGAAAGTATTGGATGGTCGTCTCGTCTGGTATGGGACTCCTCAGCAGTGCGCATTCACGATCTCGCACTTCACGAGATTCGAACCACGACCTATCAGTCTCGCGCCAGGCGCTTAACCAACTAGACCGCTAAGCCGGACGGCATCCAACGGTGTTAATGTCTCACTTCAACCAATCCACGAAGTTGCGCCATCGTAGTTAAATTAATAAATAAAAAAAAAAGAAATTATAATTTCAGTTAAACACTAACTTACTTTTAGATGAATTGCATTTCCTTTTTCACAAGAAACTGGTAAATAATCTACAAGTTTAATATAATCTTTTGATGACATAACACCACAACATTCAAACTAAAAAATAAGAAAGTTGCAAACTATAATTCATTAGAATAACTTACATCTTTTTGTAAATTCTCAAATTGATTTTCATAAATTGGATGTTTCTGATAATATTGTAAAGAATTCCATAAAGATTGATTTGCTGGTTTAAAATACTAAAAAAGAAAAATAATTTATGGTAGTTACAATTTGTCAAATGTAAGTCATCATCATCATCCAAAGCATCATCATCATCATCGAAATCATCATCATCCAAAGCATCATCATCATCATCGTCATGCAAAGCATCATCATCATCATCATCATCATCAGCATAGTAACTAACTTGATTATTTGATACACTTGAACTAATCGATATAGAAATTTCAATAATTGTTGCAATAATCAATCCAATAATATGCTAATCATTATATAAAGGAAATATAAATAGTTACCATGCAAATCAAGATATTTTTCTTTTTCCATATCCCAATAAATCCAATGAATATACTTAATAAACCAAGAAATCCACTACAAATAATCACTGGATATATAATTGGTTTAAAAAAATCTAAAATTATATTATAATTCGATAGGATATTCAATACTCTAAAAGGTAATATTAATAAGGCTAAATCAAATATCTTCATTATTATTTCATTATATAATTGAATATATTACTTACAATAAGTAGTATATTGAATAGAATAAATATTGTATTCCAATACTTTTGTATTTGTGATAGTATCATCTTTAGTCAATAATTCAATAAGGTATAGTAACTAATCTCTTATTGTCTCTTATTTGAATTATGATTTATACAGTTTGATTAAAATGTTTTTGTTACCAGTTATATGAATGACTGATTTTTTTTTTTTTGGTTGTTTGTTTTTCCATACAAAAAAAAAGAAGGTAATTCATGCACATTAAAATGTAACATTGTAAGTTGTAAAATTACTGAAGAAAAAAAATAACAGAAAGAAAAAAGATTCTTTTTTTTGGTTGTTGTTGTTGTTGTTATATTGTAACATATATGAAACAGTATGGTGTTACTATGCATGTTTTTTCATATGTTAGTCAGATAAAACTCTTATTTTTTAATTTTTGGTTTTTTTTACTTAGATTCTATGCATATTTTTGTTCTAAATTATACCTGTTATTATTAGGAGTAAATTGGTATTTTGTTTTTATCATGTGAATCATTGAAATTGATGTCAGTAATCTAGGTACTTAATATTTTCATGAATTGGTATTTGTACTCATGAATTATTTAGTATGTAATAATTGATTTCAAACAATTTAACTTCGATGTGATTGATTCATGAATGGCTAACTGGAGAGGAATATATTAGAGAGAGTGTTGTATAACTTGTATGCCCTGTTTATTGTATAAGATAACGATACCACCAATTACAGAGGAGCGAATTATCGATCGGATCTATGACACCTAAAACCCGTATGAGCAGTCTAGTGTCGCTAACGGTCCATCTTCTAGCTTAGCCCTGCCTGTTGATTCCAGAACACCAATGTCAGCCTTCGAAATATGAATCATTTATTTCAAACGTACTGGGTTTATATACCAACCAGACAGACCACAAAGTACCATAAAATATGAAGCAACATTTGTACAAGATTTGGCCGAATATGGCCATGAATGAGGGAGATAGTGATTAATAAACAGGCCATAACTCAAGAATGATAAACCGTATAATAATAGTTCATAGGTCGAAATAAAACTCATAATAAGAGGGATATGAAATATGAACAGTTTAGTTACATAACAATTATACGACAATAACGTACTCATAATATTGGTCCATAAATGGATCCCGAAAGTTACCATTCATTATGCTTATCGGGATATAACAGAGAGAGAGAGAGAGAAAGAAAAAGCTAGAACATAGTCGACTTCATTAAAACAAAACAAAAAATACCAACCGGAAACATCATGAGAAACGAAATCAAGTACAGAAATCATCAAAAAGGATCAGCCTACTATACATAAAAAGCATATTCGAAACTACAACGCGACTGTTGTAAACCTTCATAATAGAGGTGTCGTACACAAACCAATAAAATCACTACAATCAATACTATGCAAACTAAAGGATAAAATAATAAAAAAAGACAAAGCAAACATCATCTACAGAATAAATTGTGTTAACTGTGTAAAACACTACATCGGACAAAGCGGACACTCTGTTCATCTTCGCCTGTATGAATATCAATTACCAGTCAAACACAATGACATATCCTCACTTATATCAATACAAGTAGACAACTTAAGACACATATTCGACTGGAAAGATATGGAAATTTTGGATAGAGGCAATTCCATAACAACACCAAAGAATTTTTAAAAGCTTGACACTCAGATCAATCAGCAATCAACAAGCACATTGAAATCGATGCAATTTATCAACTAGTGAGGGAAATTATGGACAAACATAGGAACAAGAATCAAACTAATGGAAGATAAAACCAAAATAAAGAAGTAAATAATGATAGGTTTAAGATCAATAAAAATCAATCAACATCGAAGTGTACAGGACAAGATGCGAACCATATGTGGAGAAATTCGAAAACGACCAAACCGTCCAACTCAAAGAAATTAGTCAATCATAGATGGTTTATTCTGAACAGATTGATCGATTGCTTCTAGAATTCCTCAAAGGAGATCGATTCTTCTTGAGGTAAATGGTAATGATACTTTCGAGAACTGACAAATGATATGATACATGAATTGTTGTTTGCTCAGATCCTAGTGTTCAAAAATAAGTACGAAACGTTTAACTTTATTTCAATTACTGAAGTCCTGAATAACACGACGATTCCGTTTGTACGGCTAATTATTTTGAGACTGTAGGAATTTCGAAAGGGGAAGTGAGACTTTCTTTCTATGTTTACTTTTATATTAAAATAGGACAAGTTGATTGTCGGTGTTCTGTATCTCAACGCTTCATAGAATTTCGGTTCACGATTCTAGGCTACAAATACATTAAGTAATTTACGGTGTCCAAAACATAAAACCGTTCTACTGTATGACTCATGGTTATTATTATGAAATATGATTCCTTTTACTCAATGAATCTCTGCATCCCTATGATTATTGTGCATAGCTACAAGATCTATTTACAGACAGTATAGAGAAACGTTACTGAAAGGAATAGCTTATCAGTAACTAACTAATCATTTTTAATTTGTTCTTCATAACAAACAAAGTATTGATTGAATTCACTTGATATTGCTTGCGTGTACCTACTTATTGTCCTTTAGAACTGCAATTGATTGCTCGATAGAAATCTTGTTCCTGATAACACATATCCATTTAGGGCAGATGCATATTTCTTTGACGCTGGTGTTTGTGTCTATGTTTATATTCTAATCCAAATTCAGTAATCTAATGAAGTTGTAGTGTATAGTTAAGTACATATTCTTTGTTCTGAATATCATATTGACAAATAAATGGTTAAGTTCGTACTTTGATAATGTGTACAGATTAGATTCATTGAGTTCTTCATAAGAAATACCCTATGTGGTTTTGTGCCCCTATCAACGTATAAAGTAATGATACCGCCAATTAGAGATTAGTGATTTATCGATCGTACCAATCACGCATGAAACCCGTACGAACAGTCTAGAATGCTTGTCGGTCTTTCTTTCTGCCTAGCCTTGCCTGTTAAGTCCAGAACACCAATATCAGCCTCCTCGATATGAATCATATGTTTCAAACATACTGGGTTTATATGCAAGCCAAACAGACCACATCACACCATAAAATAGGAAACAACATTTGTACAAGATGAAGCCAAAAGTGGCTGTGAATGTGGAAGACTGTAATTACTAGACTGGGTATAACTCAAGAACGGCGAATTGTATAATAATAATCTATGGGTCAAAATAAAGCTCATAATAAGAGGGACACGAATATGCGTAGATTAGCTACTTAACAAGTATACAGTACAAATATATGTATCGTATCGGTCTATAGATAAATCTAAACAATTACCATTCAATATTCTCGTTGGAATATAGCACCCTACAAATCCACTTTTGTATTCCAGTAGATAGAAACTGTGATAGGTTTGTTACTAGCCGGTTTAAGTAGATTTTCTAAAATCTGAACGTTTTACAAAGTCATCATCTATTTAGCTCAGAAGCATTATCTTCTTTCAGATGAGTCAGCGCAATATCGTGATTTGACATAAAGTCTTTCTAATAACTTTGCCGTGAAATAATCTTTATTACGTATAACTAACATTTCATCCATATACTTCCTAAATAAAGTTACCACACTGAGGATATATGATGTCATATTTTCAAAATGTGACATTTAATAACTAATATTAGTCTATAACACTCATTCATAGTACGAAACTCCTTAGCAGTGCTCATACTTGATCTTGCTCGCGGGATTCGAACCCAAGACCTTCGATCTCGCTCACCAGTTCTTCTATAGATGAACTGTATATATAGATAATATTAGTCCTAATGAATTATTAGATTACTCTTTTTTTTTTAAGGAATCCATGAAAAAAAAATTTTAATAGAGTAAACTTTGAAATATTGAGGTTAGCTTCGTGATCATAACATATGTCTTAAGAGGTTTTAATAGACTGGAGTTTGAGATGGTGGAGAAGATTTGTAGCTCAGGTGGATGATTTTGATGGAGTTTTGTTCTTTGAGCTGGATGGTTTGATAGTGGAGCTTTCATCGTTCTTCTGAACGACATCATCAGCACAAACTTCATCAAAAGACTGGAGATTATTTATTGTAATCTACCTTCTGATGAAATAATCAACATCATCATGAGAAAATGGTAGCATGAGAGTCAGTGATTTAGCAACGAATAGTCTGTTTTTCTTAGTGTTCAATGCATATAGACTAACTGTAATAATAATTTTATTTTGAGAAAAACATGAAGTACTGTTGGTGTAAAACATTTACCAATAAAAGTGAAGATGCCACAGGTATTCAGAGTTTGACAACGCTTTAACCAGTAACACCTTCTAATATGAATCGTACCCACCAAGTGAAATCAAAAGACATAAGTGAGGAAGTTCGTAGATATATTTGATGTGACATCAATATATCGAGAATCGTCTGATCTATTCTGGCTAGCGATTGCATTAGATGTTGAGCACGGCGTTCCCACTCGTGATCTGGTGCGGATGCATGACCGAGCGCCTTCAGCTAGGTGAGTCCATTAAAACATGTGGTCAGCATCCAATGTCGAAAACTTACAGAGCTATTTATTTTGGAGATTTATTTACCGCTACAAAAGTAATCTCATGAACTATTTACATATGCTGCATTAATCAATGTTTTTAATGACATCAAAAATGTCATAATTGGGTCACTATCCAGAAGTCAGTTAAAAGCTTAATTTTGGAACATCTACTGAATTCCGGTCACTCCGCCTCACCAGAAGCCCCCTTCATTATTGAACGTGATTAGAAGTGTTGGCTCAACAGGAATGCAAGTGAAGAATTACTATACAACATAGGCTATTTCTATCCACTAGTTTAAGTCAAACCCGTGCGTATAAAAACAGTCTGTTCAGTCCCTCATTCTTTCATGACCATAATCTCTCTCAATTAATAATTCTGTTCATTTTGACACACTTCAAATCCTTTTTTCATAGTAACAAAGGAATTAAACTTTTCGCTGCTTATTCAGTAATACATCCAACCTTCTGGGATTCGAACCCAGTATCGTTCGCTTCAAACGCCATCACCTTATCCACTTACCTACTGAGCCCTGATAGCCATTTGCTTGTGTAATGGAGTGAAGTTTTAAATTTCCTTGATATTGATCACTTGTATCTTCCTATTGTTATTTCAGGTACATATGTAGTGAACGTGAACAACTGTGGGGACAATTGAATGCATTTGAATAGAAAACTACACAATATCTCAGTAAAATCTGAGAACCATACATTAAATACTTCATTCACAAAATGTCAATCGATCTTCTCAGACTTCACTGTACCTTCATTTCCAAAGCAATCCTTCTCCGTTCTAGTTTTCTTTTCTCCGACCTTCTAAACTTTCTGCTTCCAAACATTTCA